GTGGGCGGGGCTCGGGGCCGGGGGCTCAGAAGGGGCGGTGCGAAGTGTTGGGAAGGCCGTCCACGGGCGGAGGGAGGGTCCCGGGAGTAGTGGGCGGGGCCTAGGAGAAGAGTTGGGCGGAGATGGGGTCAGAGACTGGGGGGCTTTCTCAGCCGAAGTCAAGGGGCGGCCGCGGGCTAGTACGCTTAGGGCGTGTGCACCTGGACGGAGGGAGGATGCTCGCACGGAGGATGGTGGAAGGAACGGCTGGTATTTGGACAGGGTTGAGGGGTGGGGTGGCGAAGGCGGGGCCTGAAAGAGGAGGAACGACACGAAGGAGGGGCAAGGCCGACTAAGGGAGCTAGGGCCCCAAGTGGTCTTTTTTGGTGTTTTGGTTTTGGTTTTTTTTTTTCTGGAGACAGGGTCTCGATATGCAGTCCAGGTTGTCCTTGAAGTCACTGTGCAGACTGGCCTGGAACTCAGCGGTCCTCCTGCCTCAGTTTCTGAGTACTGGGATTGCAGGCATGTGCCACTGTGCCCAGCCGGAAGTGGAGAGTCTCTCAGACCCCTGTGTTCTGCAGGCTGCCTCGTGACCCCACCATGTCTTCCCCCAGCGCGAGTTCCGCGGACACTGCCCTGCCCGGTGAGTGGCCCTCGTCCCCACGGAGCCCCATCGCACGCTGGCAGAAGCTCACTGTTCCTTCCTCTCTCCTCTGCCTCTCAGGAAATGTCCCCCCTCAGCCCAGCACCTCCTCCTCTTCACCCACTATAAAGAAAGAGGGCCCTGAGCCGTGGCCCGAGGGTCCCGACCCTGATGTCCCAGGCACCGATGGGGCCAGCTCGGCCTGCATCGTGGGTGAGATGGGGCCCAGGGTCTGGGACAGGGAGCTGGCGTGGAGCTGGGGAGGGGTCCAGGTGGGGAGAAAGATAAGAAACAGAGGAGAAGATGGGATGCTCCCGCTTCTGTTCACGTCCTTCATTTGTCCTCGAGGCCTCCCCCGGAGTCATTCTCTGTGGTCACTGACTTGACCTCTTCCCCTCAGACTCGCTGGCCCCTGCGCATCTCCTGCCACCCTCTGTCTCTGGCTCTGCCCCTTGGGACGGCTCGTGGACCTGACCCTGGCTGCTGTCTCTCGCAGTGGCTCTTTCTCATAGCCTTTGTCTGCCCATCCCAGTCATCCTAGAACCAGATGAGGAGCCCGAGCCAGAGCGCAAGAGAAAGAAGGGCCCAGCTCCAAAGATGCTGGGCCACGAGCTGTGCCGCGTGTGTGGGGACAAGGCCTCTGGCTTCCACTACAACGTGCTGAGCTGTGAAGGCTGCAAAGGCTTCTTCCGGCGTAGCGTGGTCCACGGTGGAGCCGGGCGCTACGTCTGCAGGGGCGGTGGAAGCTGCCAAATGGACGCCTTCATGCGGCGCAAGTGCCAGCAGTGCCGGCTGCGCAAGTGCAAGGAGGCGGGGATGAGGGAGCAGTGTGAGTGAGGGCCCGGCTCGCCTG